GAGATGATAGTAAAAACCGCTCAATTACTCTGCCTCGAGAGTCAAGACGGGCACTGCCCCACATAGGATGATGGGCATTAAAATCACCTAAAATTAAAAAGGGTTGAGGAAGTTGTCCCACGAGTCCCTGGAGCTCAGAGAGATGCAGGGGAACATTCGGAGGCAAATAAATAGAGACAACCGTTATAAGGCGGTCTAAAAGAAGACGCACCACTACGGCTTCCAGTGGGGTGCAGAGTGGTACCTCGGAACAGGCAACCCCACTCTGTACAATCACTGCCACGCCCCCAGAAGTGGAATTAACACGATCTTTACGAAAAACTTGATGACGCCTTAAAATCTGTGTATGACGAGCTTGGAGACGAGTTTCTTGTAACGCAAGGGCAATAGGCCGGAGATCGTCCATAAATATTGGGTAAAAGACCACGACAGTTCCACTGCATAAAATGCAAATTCTTCATTTATGTAAAAAGGTGAAGTGTAAAATTAAAAAGAGAGAGGCAATGAAAAAATTGAGAGTATGAAATTAATGGTTATTTGGGAGGGACCACTGGTTTTTTCCCTTTAGACTTCAAAGTCTGCCACTCCATGTCACCCTCGTCGGATGCAGGAGTGGGTGACTCAGCGGTATCATCCATCGCCTCTATTTCTGGAGGCGAGCCTTTACCTGAAGGTTTTGGCTGGCTTGTTGTGCGGGGTGGCTTGCCTCGGCCACGACCAGCCGAAGAGGCACCGGAGGTGCTGGGCAGAGTGTCTTTCAACTCTGCCTCCTCCGGCCCCTTGGGTACTGGGGGAGCGGCACGAGGGTTGTGCCGCTCTTTAAAAGAAGAGGTCCTCTCTGAGGAGGTCGGGCGGGAGTTTCGCCCCCTCTCCCCGGGAGAAGACCGCGAAGTGCGGACAGGTGCGGCATTTGCCGGCCTGTCTAGAACCAGCGAACTAGCATGTGCACTCCCTCCATGAAGAGGGGGGCACTGCTGCCCCGGCTGGGGGGTTGGGGCCCTGAGGGCTGCCTCCAGAACCTCAGGTGAGACCTGGGTAGCCCTAGACTCCGAGCGTGGCACAAGACCTCTACGTGCCACGTCGGCGTACGATCCCTTCGACATGAAGGAATACCTTTTCTTTGCTTCGCTATAGCTGATATTTTCTTTGGCTTTAATGGCAATGATTTCCTTCTCTTGCTTCCATATGGGACAGCCACGATAGTAGGTAGGGTGTGGTCCATCGCAATTAACGCAGTGGGCCACATTCTCGCAATTGTCAGAGATGTGATCCTGACTGCCACACTTTGCACAAGTCGCCTTCCCTCGACAGCTGCGTGTTCCGTGACCAAAACGCTGGCAACGGAAACACCGCTGGGGGTTGGGGACAAAAGGGCGGATGTGGCAGTTCAGGTATCCAGCCTTGATTGTTTGTGGCAGTGTGTGTCGTTCAAATGTAAGGATGACGTGTTTGGAAGGGATTTCTTCACCATCTTTTTTGAACATAATCCGTTTTACGGCGACAACGCCGGAACCTTGGAGTCCCTCGAGGAGTTCTTCCTCACTAGTGTGAAGGAAGTCGTCCTCAGAGAGGACTCCAGGGATGGTGTTCAGTGTGCGGTGAGGGCTCACCGACACTTTCACATCAAGTATGGTGTTCAGCTTGAGAAGCGCTTCACTTTGCTTTTTATTATTTATCTCAACTAGGAGGTCTCCTGAGTGGAGTTTTCTAGCCTTGTAGGAAAACCCTACAAGGTGTTCAAGTACTTTGGCGACGACAAATGGTGAAAGCTTTGACACAGGTTTCTGTTCATCGAGAGAATGAGCAACGAAAAACTTCGTGAAGTTTTGTACCTCTGGTTCTTTTTCAATAGTCTTGTGTTCGGGGCAGCGCCTTTTAACGGCTTGCCCCGAACGGGGTTTGGAAGAGAGGGGCGCCATAGGGCAAGGAGTGTTCGGAATCTGTGGCGCGCCGCCCACCACGGAGCCCAACGAGGGAATAGGTAACACCCCATAACAAATATGGCTTTGCTGGAAGCATTACCCTATTAGCGCTACCCAGAAACTATAACCAAGTGTGGATCTGGACGAGAGTATCTGTCACCACCCAAGGTTAGCCCTTGCCGCCAAAGGAGTTGAAAAAGGAAAGAAGGGAAATGAGAAGAGTGAAAAGAAGAAGACAAGGGTGAAAGAAAGGAGGGGATAGTAGAAGTGGCGACTAGGCTGAATCATCCTGGTCGGGCCAAGCCAGGACTCCCGTCTACGGGAAGCGGGAGCCGAAGTGGTGTATTGCCTCGCCCGGGGGGCCCCGAAGGGTCCAAACCTACCCCGGGCTCGGCTCAACCACCAGGATGCCCTTTTCCCCGGACACGGGAAAGCCACGCACAGCCAGACGTGGGCGGGCGAACCCGCATGGCTCGGGGTCCGTGGGGACGCCACTCTCCAAACACCTGCTTTCACAGGTGCCCCCTGCGGGGTGTATTTCGACTAAAAAGAAGCTTTTAGCGGGTCTGACCAGTAGACTACACAAATTGCACGCTTTCGGCACCGCAGGTCGCCCCCGTAGGTGGAGGAGGTTTCCACATCGTCCGGTTAAAATATAACGCACTGGTATTTAGTTACTCTCTCCGTGCCCGCTGCCTTGCCCGAACCCCAATAGATTTGGAAACCGCAAAGAAGGTAGACGCTTAAATATGATTGCAGGACCCCTTTAAGTCAAGAGGTATGCTACCAGAGGAGTGATTCTCGATAGATGTCAGTTAGAACCAGAAATTCTATAGGCTTGGTGTTTTCCATGACTGCAATTTATGTGGTTGCCACCAGAACTTGTGGAAAGTTCCAGATCTTCAATGGCTAAGGATGTATATCTAACAATTATATTCTGCAGATATTGAACAGGGAATTGCCATTATTACACAAATAATTACAATGCTCCGTGAAGTAATTCCACTAAAGAATAAAACTGAACATACCAACAGCCTCCTGTCAGCAGCTTCCATGAGTCTTGGTAGTTTCAAACCGCAACATGTCCTCTAGAAGTGGAGCATAAATGGCTCTGGTCTGTGCCTGGTCCGGTGCTCTAGCTGTCCGAGGGCCATGAGTCCACAGTCACTTGAGCCTTGGTTTTACCCCTCTATTCTTCTACACGGGCCACAAGCTGTAGTACCAGGCTTGCAGTAGAAAAGAAACTGAAGGTGTTAAAGATGCACTTCTGAAAAGACAAGGCACAAAAAAAACCAACTACTTAGCTTGAAAGGTGCTAAAAAAGAAAATCATACAGATTTAATTAGAACAAAACTTTGAAGATTCATCTCAACCACCCAGGTATTGTGAACCTAGACTGATCTTGCAGCACAATAAGCCTCAGTCAAATTGCAGGAACCTCAGTCTGGTTTACAACCTAATAACTCGGCATGTTGCCTCAAAGCCAACTTTCAATTAACAACACAATTAAACTCTGAAGATACAGCACCAATAAGAGATGAGCATGGTCATGACAGCCTGCTTGACTTACAGTGTCAAGTTAAGGGTCAATCAATGAAACTATTCTCCTATGCCCTTGAAAACTGTGGTCGAGACAAACATTACAACCAAAAAGATACTTCAAGTAGCTGTCAGCATGCGCTGTACAAGCAGAAGTATCAAGGGAAGGTTGAAAGGGCCACAGGAAAGCACTGGCTTCCCAAACCTTAGATCCGCCACCCAAAAAACACCCTACTTTCACAGGGGGGAGGGAGCTAGCCTTGCGGCTACAATTTCAGCTATCTGCTCACGTGATAGGGACAGTATACCCAACCTCGACATCAGATTGGACATAGTCTGAAGGTTCAGTTGACCGACTGCTTACAAAGCAAATTGCACGGACCAGAGGAGCCTGCTTTAGTATGTTGGCCAGCGACTGTGTGCTGAAAAATTAACAAATAGGGAAGAGTCATGCTAATGCAGTGCTTATATCTGTAGTGAGTTTGAAAGAAAAAGATTATGCACGTAAAATGCTTTCAACAGGCTTGTGAATGTGCATTAAAAATTTGCATAAAGATGTTGGCCTGAACTAGGTTTCGGTCGGTGCTGCTTCGATTGCTCACAACTGATCTCATTCCAGGGGTAGTGATTAACAGAAATAAAACAGGCACAAAGGCTGTTTCACACACTTGCGACTGCTTCTGGCTGGAGAGGTTAAAAGACTGGCTTTAAACCTCTATAAATGCTTATGACTGCCGTGCCGGTTGTAGGCAGTTGCAAGTATGTGAACCATGCCTGCTTTCTTCTGCAGTAATACACTGCACAAGGAAACTTATTGTATGTTTCTATAGATGCAACACAAGAATGCGGTGAGACTGGAGTATTCAAGTTCTAGTGCGGTGAATCACAGTTTGCTCTTCTATTTAGGCCTGCAAGAATGATGTCCTGGGAATAATAACAACATCAAGCCTATACAAACAAAAACACCTACCTGCTTCCAATCATACTTTGAAAAGACCTTGTTTTTTAAGGCATGGCCAATAAAAGAAAAAGCTGATGGCCATAGAGAATCTTCTGTCACAGGAATAACACTACATACTGCCATATATGTCAGGATGGACCATATCCCAAATTAACCATGCACAAAAGAGAATGCTGAGAATGTATGAACATACACTGCATGTGCTGGTGTCTGCAAGCGAATCTGTTCAAAGGTAAAAATCTAAAATAAATAGCACATTGCACACACATTCTTTGAAACCCTATTTTGGTTTTTTGCCTCGAATCCTTTATGCAGAGAAGGCAAGCGTGTGCAGCATGTGTACCTACGTTTCCAGCATTCCCCTTGGTGCTTGGGTAATTAGCAAAAGTCTATTGCTGAAGATGTGTCAAATGTGTGTCCAAGCAACACACTGTGGTCGTTGCAGACATCGTGGTTGCAACGGATGCTGTCAAAGCTACAACTCCTGATGCAAATTTCTGAAAGGGCCATTAGAGGCAAGCACACATGTCAAAAAGTCGGTGAGGGGGGGGGGGGGGCAACTTACCGGTGAAATTTTGCTGCCTCAAAGAACCATGACCACCTGTGACATCTTTGGGCGATAGTAGCTCCTGGGGTGCTATTAGAAAATAAGATGGATTGTTAGGTACAAATCTTCTAATACTCAGAATTTAAAAAATAACTATCAATTGAGTACAGAACCCTCAGATGCGTCTGCTATATAAATGCTTGTGCAGCGAGAGCACATTCGAAAAATGCGACCTCCTGCTGAAAATAACAATGTATGTATGCTTTACATGCAGCATTTCTTTGCAGAGCTGGTGGTTGCATATTATCACTGTTCTCGAACTTCCACTTCTATGGTGCACAACCATGTGTTCTATGTTGAAATAGAACACAGGGCTCTCAAACCAATAAGTGTTTTCACGACAATGTCATACCTACAAGTGTTCATTCTGTTGTTTGTTTGTTTTTTCCTGTTTTTATCTCTGAGACATATGATAGTTATCTCTTCGCTGTTTTTGTAGCTCGCTTTGTCAAGAAGATGAAAGAGAATACCTTGTCAAGCAAACTGTTGGCTTTTTGTCTGCCTCCCAGCATTTGTACTTGTACAGGTGCAAATAAAATGATTAATTGATTGATTGAACTAACACAAAACGGAAGTGCAACAATCTAATTCATTCCCCATAATCAATCAACAGAATTCACGTTTGAAAACAATACAGGTGCCTTCACTAAGGAAAGAGAAAGGTACAATGTAGGCTTCAAAAAGCAAACATATTGTAGCCAATGGCATCATGTCACTTGACACTCAGCAGACTACTTCCCGCTGCATATGCTTAGCTGTTGGCATAGGCACATAGCCCCCTGCTTCTCTCATTCACCGTCCTCTCCCTCTCCCTCTTTGTGTCACACCCTCATGGAGCTTTGGGAAGCAACTTGAAGCCAATATATATTTTGTTGCAAGTTAAAAGCCTGGGTCATCTGTATTATATTTTATGCCCCTCTTTTCTTGCCCAGTTTTCTCGCTAGACTGGCCAGGCGACAATCAAATGCAGGCGCACTTACTGCTCCCTTTCTTAAATCTAGGCTCTCTCCGTCATCTCCGCCGGCATGTTGTCGTTAGCGCTCCGAACGCCTCTATCGGCATGCCACAACGGCTTCTCCGCGTGCAATGCGGTAAAGCTGCTTCCCAGATAAGGAGCGGAGGGCAGACGACGGCCTTTCTCGCATCTTCTACTGCCTGTTTTGGGTGCCTTCTTGGTCGTGACAGTAAAGTGCGGCGGTCTGAGACTTAGGGCCAGTTGCACCAATGCAGCTTAACGCAAATCAGAGCTTAGCAGGGAACCTAAGCCGAGTTTTGGTTTTGTTCTGTTGCACCAAAATCACTTATCGCTAAACCTAGCACTAAACCATGCCTATCGTGAGCGCTCAACATCGGGTACTTTACTTGGTCGTTTCTTAATCCTGGATTTCAAACATGTCGGCTGGTTTGTGGCGGTCTACACGGTGGACGAAATTGGTTGTACAAAGTGTTTTAGGCTACAGCAGCGTGAGAGCCTCAACAGAATAACCTTCGATTGCGACAGATGCAAAATATTATGTGAAGTGCTTATCAACCCGTTTTCAAGTTGACTTTCCACTCTCAGTGTGTGTTAGCCCTAACCAGGGAAGGTATGCAGATGTGGGGCTCACGCACGGCTGACGTCCATCTTCCCATTGGTTTTTATTTCAGCGTGCTTATTCGTATGCAGTTATTTGCGCATATCTGTAACGTATTGCCATTTACAACCTTGTTTATCTTAGAGCGCAGCTCTTAGGCACCCGTTTCCGGCTTGAGTGGAGTCGGCGTAACCGCACGGTGCATTATGGGACACTACCCATGATGCAATGCGCAGGGAGGAGGATGAGGGGGAGGGAAGGAAGGAGGAGGAGGGGGAAGAGAAGGAAGGAGGGGAGGAGAGAGGAGCTTGAAGGATGAGGTGAGGGGGAGGTGAAGGAGGAGGAGGAGGAGGGGAGGAGTAGCAGGGAGGATGAGTGGGTGAGGAGGAGCAGGGAGAGGGGGTATACCCTCCTCTCAGTACCCTTCTTTCGTCTTCTTTAAGAGCTGTGCTCTAATTCGGCGTTACATGGTGTTGTAAACGTCAGATTTTTACTTTCAACGCATTTCCTTTTTTCCAATCAGCGCGTTGAATAGCGGCAGTGCACGATCTCGGCGATCAGCCGATTGTAGCCCCATTCTTCCGTTCTCATTAAATTGCGGTGAACAACGCATTTAGACAATAATGCAACGAAAAGGCTTTTTTTTTTTAGTGTTGGGACAATTTTTAAGAGAAGTTCCTTTGTATCCCAAGTAAAATCTTAGCTTCGGAAAACTGTGTCGTTCTACAGTCGAAACTTATCTGGTGACCGCACTTTGTAGCAGCGACAAGAAATCAAAACGACTAAGATGCGAGATTTGCTCAGCACTGTATTAGGGCAGGCTGTGGCGGGTGGTGCGAAGAGATGACTGTTCTCATCGACACAATGTGATGACCTAGTGTGAGTTTTCATACTTCAAAGACCGCCACCGCCTTACGTTCAACTAGGGAGACAGGCAGTGTACTGTGCCACAGCTCACACGCCATGCCCCTCTGGGTACAGATGTTACAACATGTTCTGCAGTACCGTAGAAGCTAATAATCGTTCAGTAATTGTATTTGCACTTCGATATATTTAAATTGTTGTCAAAATTGAATACAATATTTACTTTTATTTTTGGGGTGCACTTTGTTGCAATGCACATAAGTTGTGTGGTGAAGTAGGCATCATGAAAATACCCAGTATTTCTGTTTTCTGGCTGCACTTGGAAATTTTTTATACAAATATGTATGGTTAAATTATCCTTGGCAAGCAACTGGACCCCAGCCCTAGACTCAAGCCTTGCTTATTCCAGCATCTGCTCATCTAATTTCTTAAGGAAATAATTCAGGTACTAACAAAAACATGAAATGCTTATGAAGGCTGATCGGGAATCTGAATGGTTTATTTTGGAAAATCATGTAGGTCATAAATGACCTAAGCTTAATGTGATAATCCTAGTGTTGGTTTTCATGATTGAGATCTGAGGCAGAGCAGGTGAAATAGAAAAGAAACTTTGTACAATGTCTAGGTCTAAGGCACAGCTTGTATTTGTTTGCTAAAAGACAGAACTAACAGACACTTAGAAAAACCCTTAACACCTAGGCATAGAAATTAGAACAGCATAATAGAACCAGAGGAATGAAATGCACGACTGCCACAGAAAGATAGAACTTTACCAATCTGGGGAAACTTTACGTAAGACTGACTATTTAAAATAAGTGAGAAACCAGACCGTAATGCAGCTTGCTTTTTGAACTAACCTAAAATTAACTATCTTCAATTTTATGAGCTAACAGAATAATGACTGATGCAGCACAAAGAAAGTCAGAAGGTCAAGTTACAAGGTTACATGTAAAGACCCCAAGTTAGCAGTCATGCTGCATATGGTAAGTTTTCTTTCTGCAGTGGAGACACAAACAGTCTAATTTCATCGCTGACTGATTCATCACTCTCTGAAGGCTAACAACCCATTTAATTTTGACTTTTATGACCATAATAAGGTCAAAGTAGGAAAGTTTTAACCTACACAAAGATATACCAGGTGTTTCTTTCAAAACTTAACAGATTTGTTTAAAAAGCCGTGAAAGTTACACTTATGCGATTTGTGCAGATGAGTTATACAGCCAGGGGGATAGAGTATTGGGGCTAATTGTAACGATCAGTCAGCTAATTATTTAAAATTCGTTAATTAACTTTTTAAATAATTAAAAATCGACACATAGTTCCAATTAGAAACTTGCTAAGCACCATTGAAAACCACTAAATCAACTCTTTTTAGAACATAAAGCATGGGCAGCATTTTACGTCGTTCTAATGAAGCGCTCAATTTGGATGTGTTTCTACGTTTCGCTTACTTATCCGAGCACATCTCTGCGCCCGCAATCCTGTCCCCTCCCCCTCCCCTCCCTCCCTCCCTCCCTCCCTCCCTCCCTCCCTCCCTCCCTCCCTCCTCCTCCTCCTCCTCCTCCTCCTCCTCCTCCTCCTCCTCCTCCCCCGGTAGTCGCGGCGCAAAGCCACTCCCTCGCTTACCTTGTAGCATAGAGGGAAGTTGGGCGCAACTGTGTTGCACGTCTCAGCCACTGTCGAGCAGGACCGTGGGCGCAGAGATGCACTGCAATAACAAATCGAAACCTAGAAACGCGTCCAAATTGAGCGTTTTCATGGAACGCTGTAATATACAGCCCCTGCGTTATATCTTGTGAAAAAGAGTTGATATAGTGGCCTTAGGTGACGCTGAACAAGTTTCTAATTGGAACCACATGTCTATTTTCATTTATTAAAAAGTTAATTCACGAATTTTACTTAATTAGCCAACTGATCGTTACAATTAGCCCCCTATACTATGTTCCCTTGGCCGTATACCTCACCTGCGCAAAACCGCTTTAATGTAACTTTCATTTTTTAAAACAAAGCCACAAAGAGTGTCTTGGTGTAAATGCTATATGTATTCCGTTACTAAGATTGGCTCATGAAGTAAACTAAACAATGAATAAGTATGGTTGGAGCCAGAATGCAGACGTTACGACGTTACAATTGTAGACAATAATTGATCTTAGATGGTGCTATGACAACAAAGTTCCCTTTCCGGTGAGCCAACCTGCCTCCAGCCCGAAGGAAAAATCCATCAATGTAACCCTGTTTGGCAGTCAATGTTTTCTAGTGGACCGCTGACTGTGCCTGACTGTACGTCAAGCATGTCTGATTGGCCAACAAGTTACTCTGACCGACAGTCAAACTCCAGTCAGACCCCGCTTGTCGGCTTTCTGATGGTTTCCTGGTGGCAGTCGGCCGCCGCGAAATGCCATCAGGATGTCTTGGTGGCGATTCTGACTGTACATCGATTGTCTCTGACTGTACGTCAGAAAGCTTTGACGTGCAGACAGACGTACGGTCAAAGGACGTAAAGTTCGTTCGGATACCACTATTTCGTCAAATCTATGAATACGAAAAGTAATATATGCACGAGAAAACGATTTTGGGACGAGAGCCCATAAAACCGCTGACGTTAGAGATATGACACGCAACCGACCGACAACCTTGATCAGAAGCCCGCCAAAGCGCCGAACACGACACTTCGCACTTCGCTTCGCCCATAGAGGCTTCGCCGAGCTTTCATGAACAATCGCTCTCGACTCGTTTTGTTTGCCCGCTCGCTCCAACCTGTCGATCCTGCCCGGGCTCTACAATGTCTTATGTTTTAGTAGAATTTCTACTCGACAAGACCCAGCCTGTTGTGAGTTCCGACGATGTAAGGGACTTTAGCGGTGTAGTTGAAGACGAAAGGGTGTACCAGGTCTACTGGGCCGGTGATGCGCGAACAAAAGGATCGTTCTACGACTCGAAAGTACTCTACATGGCAGGTGAGTAGAACTGAAGTGCGGCGAGTGATGTACGTGTGCTTTGCATAACATGCTGACGACTTAACTGCATTTGCAGCCAAAGCATTTCGTATAAAACGAATAGTCAAATCGTATTTCTCTAACGGTGGCGTAGCATAGCGGTTAAGATATCCGATTTGTACGCATGTGGTCGCGGGTTCGATGCGCAGTGGTGCTGCTTTTTTTTTTTTTTTCGAACATTTTGTTTTATTGAGGCATTTGGCGATAGTTATGAATGCGTATAGCTTTACTCTTATATAAATGCTGCCCTTGTTGATGAAATTCCCTTGGCAGTAGCAGTCAGACCTCATCTGATGGACCATCAGATGACGTCTGATGGTCCATCACGTTCCACCAACGCTGCTGACTGGCAGTCAGTGTCCCAAATTACGTAGCTTGATGGAATTTTCAATAGGGAGACGTCTCTGAAATGATGAAAACTACCTCGGAATGGTCGTCGTCCTCCAATTGTAGCCAATAATTGGTCTTGAACGGTGCTATGACAACGAATTTTGCTATCTGGTGAGCCAACTTGCCTCCAGACGTCTCTAAAGTGCTGAAAACTACCACTGGATGGTCGCTGTCCTTAAAGTGTAAACTGACCTTTGAAAAAAAAATGTGGTCGTTAAAATTATTAAAAATCATTTGACAATTTTGTAATCCTGACATGTTGCAAAGGGACAGATGCTTAAGGAACTATATCATGTAAAATTTACTGAAAGGACAGATATAAGGGCACTGCCATTCTGATTTCAAATGCAGCACTGATAATAGGCACATTCAAGTCCCACTAAGTTTGTGCTTAGGTCTTGCACTTAGGTGTTTGCTGCTCCAAAACAGTGTTTTGGAGCAGCAAATGTGGCCTTTGGAGCGGCCAAGATAGTGTGTTTTGGCGCAGCAAAAGTGGCTTTTGGAGCAGCGAAAACAGTGTTTCGGAGCAGAAAAAGTGACTTTTGGAGCACACATTCTTAGAAAAATAAATATTTGTTTTAAATGCTGGACAAACGAAGGGCACTTTGTGTTGTGTTGTGATGCAACGTGTTTGGGCGGAATTCGCTGCTTGTGTTTTTGCTGCTGAGACATCCCACAAGTATACAGTGCTGTAAGCGTTGCCAAGCAATTCTAAAAAAAACAAAAAAAACACTTGCTTTCGTTTTACTGGTTTTCAACGTTGCAGATCTTTACAAAAAGTAAGCAAACGTAAGACATTAGACTGCAAGCGTCCTGGATGGTGCCTCTCGTGCAATCATGTTCACATGCACGTGAGGGCAACTTCGGCAGGCTTGCACCTAGACGTGCTTCGTCGCATGAGCAGAGACAACGGCTGTTCGACCGAAACCGAAACCATGCCACTCCGCTTTGTTGCCAACTGGTTCCCAAAATAATATACATGTACAAAATGTAACTGTCCAGCATACGACAATAAACAGTCCAGCGGTGCGTGCTTGCCAGGCTGGTGGGCGAGGTACAAGCTAAACACACAAAAAAAAAGGACCTGAGCGTATCGATGCAAGACATTGTGAGCCAGGGTCAAGAAGTTTTTGGAGCGCTTTGTGCAACGACTGAACTCGAGACAAACAAGCGTGCTGTGCAGGTTCAGCGTGCAGGCATTGCCTTCTTTGCTTTAGGTCACTTCTCAATATCAACATTCTTTCGCGGCAGATTTTTCACGTACCGGGGTCCCTCTCGGGAGAAAGCCCACCGAGAGAAACCTAGGTAATTATTATTTCGACACAGCAGTCATTGAGTTAAAGAGGGATTTTTATAGCAGCGTATGATTTAAACAAGAGCAGGAATGTCGATGCGTTTCAGTTTAGAAAGCATTATATCTGCAGCAAAGTGGGGACGGCAACACACGACGTCGCGCGACGAGAGTTACTTTGTGAGCTTTGTGAGCACAAAGTAACTCTTGCCACGTAAAAATGTGGTTTTGTTTCACAGCATGACGGCAAGTCTGGAACCCGACACACTAACGTCGGAGTGTCCGCGCACACGGCCGCGTCTATCACTAAAAAATTAAAAAAAAGAAAAAAAGACGCGAGATGAGATTCCCGAGACGACGAGAGTGCGAAACGCGAGACGGCGGGAAAAATCATGCAAGACCGCATAGACGATTGATGCAGGGTACTTTGTGTCGGGCAGCGTCTTGTGCCACCTAGCCAACGCATGCTCAATTACGGTTCTCAGTTTAGTTTCGTTTTTGAAAGGCGACCAAGATTGGTCCTTTTGCGCAGGTTTGGCACAGATTAGCCCTATTTTGGCGAAATGTAGCAGGATGTAGCAGAGTTAGCCCCTTGGCGCAGAGTTTGGCACAATTGGTGCAGCAATCACATCACTGATGTTGGCAGCGCCGATTCCACAGAAATATTAGTAGTTGCACGGTGTTTAATTGGGGGAAGACCTGTGTTTCGGAATTAGTTCAATTTGAAACAAATGCATAATCGTAAACATATAATTAAAACAGTGCAAACGAGCACAAAGACAAGTAAAAGAAGGCACAGAGACACAGCGCTGACTCACGACTTGCTCTATTTTTCGTCTTCTTAAAACACATCAACATAAAAAGACGTGAGTCAGCGCTGTATCTGTGTCCCTTCTTCTAATTGTCCTTGTGTTCGTTTGCGCTGTTTTAATTATGTTTTTTTATACACCACCGACTAGCTCACCTCAAAACATTACTACAAATGCAAAAAATTCACCTTTCTTTTTCTCTTTTTTTTTTTTTTTTCGAGATTGATTAGCGCTAAGTGGCGCATTTGGGTAAAGATTGAACTGTACTCGCGCTCCGGGGACCTGTAAAAAGGCATGAAAGCAGGAAATAAGCAATCCTATTTTTCCTTCAGTACTTTCTTTTTCTTCTTTCTGTTAAACAAATTATTATTATTTGCAAAAAAAAACAAAAAAAAAAAACACCGGAAGCTTTGCCACAGTTAGCGCATTAACATTGTGTGGTGCTTAGCTGGTGGGGTCAGTAATGTGGAAACGGACGGCGAGCAAACAATTTTCAAGGCGCAATTGCCGCCCCCCTCAAGCACACACACACACAGATGTCCCAAACTTCCGCTGCCGCCGCGCCCGAAACCCACAACTTTTAACAGCCATCACATCTATCGTCGTCTACTCACAAACGCGCAAATCATTCTTTAAAAAAAAAAAAAAGAAAAGCTACAGTAACAAATGGCCAGGGACTTTTCAGGCACTCCCCCATCTAGTAGTGTTAAAAGTGTTCAGAAGACGTGTATTGTCTTGTGTTGAGATGATGAGGGCAGTGGCATAGGAAAGGAAAGGGTCTTTTTTTAATAATATTGTTTACTGGAAATGACTGATTTTCCTGCCCCCCCCCCCTTTTCCTATGCCACCGCATCTAAGCACAAGACAATACAGGGAAAAAATTGTGCACTGCTCTAGTTTTTTTTCTTTCGTCAATAAAAATATTTAACCCTAGAAAAAAAAATTATCGCCAGAACATTTTTTTTTTTTTTTGGGGGGGGGGGGGGGGGTGTTGATGTGAGTGGGATGTCCCCGAGTTTTGGAGTGGGTAAAATATTACGAAGTGTCTAGCGTTACGTCCAACGTAACCCAAGTTACGTCCAAATCTCCGCCTTTCCCAGGTTCACGGGGGAGAGAGAGGAGGGCGGGGGGGGGGGGGGGGGGGGGGGTTAGGTATACGTGTTTCAGTGCTCCGACTGGACGTAATGCTAGCCACAGTGAAAATATTAATAAAAAAGTCCCC